GACTGGAATATATACTTGCATCATCGCAAGTAAAGCCGCTTTAGTGCTAAGATTGTTACGAACACTGGAAAATGAAAGCAAGAAACACTAAATAACTTAAAATGAAATCTTGCGGTAACCCTGATGTAATTAAAAATAAAAAAGAGTACTGTCTATCTTAAATAACTTTAATGATGTGATTGGAGACAAAGGATTTTAATAATAACAAAAACTTTTAGAGATTATAAAAAGAGAGCATGTTGGAAAATTATAATGTTAGATATACCATAAGAACTTTCTTACTTATTCTACTGAAGAAATTAGTTAATCCAGACTCACCTGTGGCGTCCAGTATTAACAATCATTTACATACATAAATTTTAATTATTTTGAAAATTGAAAAATGAAGCCGGGTAAGCCAAAGAAATATAGTTTGATTTTGTTGTGATATTACCTAATTCAGAAAATCATGTTAAAATATAAGCCCTAAAATGTGAAAAAAAGTAAGTATGAAAAAAGGTTTTCGGCACAGACAAAAGTACTGAAGGTGTAATTGTGAAACTTTACTAAATTGTTACAAAAGCAATTAGATGAATCTGTGAGAATTTTAAAAACATACACCTAACTTTAATCAATAAATATTTAATGGTTTCAAGTTTTTAGGAAAAAGTGTTTAATATTAGGGTGAATTAAGAGAATTAGAAAAGTTTACACAGAACTCAGGATGAAGCTGAAATTGTATTTTATCCGAGTCGATCAAGTTTTGTACTTGATAGAATGTCTTGGAACAATCCTGAATACTGAAAAATACGTTACCTCACTTTGGTTTTCCTCAATTTGAAGGTAAATGTGAAGGTTCAGCTATTCTCAAATTATAGGATGTACGAATAAACCATCTCTTGAACGTAAAGATGATTTGAAATTCAGAGTCTGCTCTAGGGAATTTTGACAACTCCCTTTTTGGTAATACTATAAACTCCCATTATGTTTATACTATAAACAGTGGTACATGGACCAAATTTTTTTGTTATTAAATAAGAATATACTGCACTTGAATTTTATTTAGTTTCATATCAAATAATCAAGTATTAATAAACAACGTTCATTTTTATTTTTTTACAATTTAGTTTGTATGACGTTTTTTTAATGTTAATTTGCCAAATATTAAAAGTATTATGTTTTAACCAGGCAGTGTCTTTGATAAATTGAACATTTTGTATTGTTTAAAATCTTGTCGAATTCTATAACTTACAGTTGTTCTTTGGCTATCAGTACCATTTTCTAAGCACTCAAATAACCAATTTTCTTAATTTGCAAGTACTTTAATACAGATCGCCGGTTAGATGAGACTCGAATTTTCACCATTTATCGAAGAGCACATTAGCATCAAAGGTTGTTCTGGAATTAAAGTTTGCTGAACCCTTGATATGGTGCAAAACTGACATAAAAACATAAAAAAAGTTTCATATGTTCTGAAAGTTCTTTCTAGAGCTGCCTGTTTTGACCATCACCGAGTCTCACCTATGTCTTGCAACCTTATATATTTTGCAGGTCCAATCATTGAAAGAACGAAAATTTCTAATCAAACATTCATGCGTTAGCAAGAACAGAAGTTTTTAATTATTTATAAAAGCCCAATTAGGTTCTTGACTTCAATAATATTTTAACATCAATTGCAGCCAAGTTTAAGACATATGGCTTAAACTTGGCTGCATTTATTTAAAACAATTTTTAAAGTATGTAGAAAGTTTTCACATTTCTACATACTTTAATTTTTTTTTTTATGTGTGAAATACAAGTGTGAGGTATTGCTTAATAACCATCAATTCAAAAACAAAATTTTATTATAAATTGTATTAAATTTCACACAAGTACTCATTTTTTACAACTTATTAATAAAAATTGTGTTGGCACTAATTTATGGAATGTATGTTTGTTCTTAAGCAATTTATTGTCTTGCAGAAAGCTAGAGCTGTATAAGTAAATTTATTTTTATTGTTTGTTGTGATTGATGTTTGTTTCTTTCTCTCATTGAAAAAGCTTTAAAAATTTTATTAGGCGCTCTTGTAGAGTTCCGTTACAAAATTATCTTAATTAGAGTACTAACTATTGTAGGTGTAAAGTAGCTGTTCTATACCGTTGCTAGGGTATTTTGTAACTTCTTCAAGGACTTCTGAAGGCTTTTTACCGCTTAAGCATATGGATATTTTTTGATATTGGAAGATTCATGTGTAAAGAAACCAAATAACTTTTAAATTTCATGACAGACCTAAAGCCACGATTGTTATTATTAATATAACAAAATGCATTAACCGCTTAAACCCATTTTCGGCAGCCGAATCCTTACTAGGTATGCTTATGATTTTTTTTTTTTTTTTTGTATAAAATCAAAGTATGTCTTAGTGTCTTTTAAAAATAATTAAGAAATTTGAGAAAATAACAGCGGCTGGACAACAAAAAATGTAATATTGAATTTTTATTTTTACTGTAGAAATCTACCTAGAAAAGCAGAAAAATTAAAAAGGAATACTTCTCTCAAATTCATGTTGCTAAAATTGCCCAATCATTAGATAAAAAAAGCAATTGAACTCCATGCACAAATAATTTCATAAAATGTATTAATATTTCTCAGAAAATGGCTCTTAATAACTTTATAGAAAAAATGTTAAAAATAAAGATTTTATTAAATTTATTGTTATTAATTTTAATAACTTTATAGGTTTACCAAAGTCGCGTTGAAAGAACATGAATATTAGGGAACTTTGTGAATTAGTTCCCTGTCAAAAACGTCCGAAACTTTAATTGATAAAATATCTCACTTAAAAATAGAATTCAATTATTTTTTTTAATGCTGCAGTTTTCTCATAAATTTTACAAGTATGATATTTATTTAAAAATTTAATTTTAAATTTTTATTTGTTATTTAAACTATTACAATATGATATTGATTATTAAAAACTTTTTATAACTTATCATGAAAAAATTTAAACTTTTTATAACTTACCATTAAAAAAAAAAAACTTTTTATAACTTATCATTAAAAAATTTAAACTTTTTATAAGTATAAATCATTTTTATCATAAAATTTTTGATCATCATGAATGACTCTTTTTTATTTTATTTTTCTTATTTTTTCGCTAATTTTGAAAAGTAGTTTGGAATTGAATGCTTTAAACGTCATCCTGTTGAGTCAAAATTAAAACCGCTTTGAAATTCAAGCAGCTTATCTTTTTTGCAAATAAAATTTCGATAAAATGATAAAAGTCTTGGACATATACAGATGTTAAGTGTATATAATAACAAAATTATTTTAATAGAACACCAAGATAGTTGGTCTTATCCCAAACAAGCAAGCGAAGATTGATATAGAGAAAATAATAAGCACAGGCATAGTGATTAATAAATAAGTTTGACATCTAATTTATATAGTAGACCTCTTCTTTGTTATATATATATATATAAATATATATATATATATATATATAACAAAGAAGAGGTATATATATATATATATATATATATATATATATATATATATATATATATATATATATATATATATATATATATATATATATATATATATTCATCTTGCTTTTTAATTCATGTATGTACTATCTCTAAAAAGCTTTGATTCTTATTTTACAGGAACCTTTCATAAATTCTCAACTTATTTTCAAAAAATAGCTTCTGATTTCAAATTCCTATTAAAACCGTGTTCTTACTCAATGCAGAATGTGTAACTTTTTGTGAAAACAGTTCCCATATTAATTTAACAACATTTTTATTCAACAAAATTTAAAACCTAACTTTTAACGGTACCTTTTACCAACAAATTGTAATCCAGTTTGTAAATAATAGTTTTTTTTTATACTTTTTACAGAATAAACTATTAAAAAGAGCACTCTTTTTTGACACAAAAAAGTCTTATGGTATAAATTATTACGTCTTATGGTATAAATTATTTATATTTTTAAAACTTTATTTAATCAACATCATAGTAAAATTATAAAAATTATTATTGTATAATAGTTTTTGATCAAAAATAGGGCTTAGTGATAAGACATTTATTGTTTTCTTCTCGCTTTACCTATTTTTTGCATATATTTTGGACGTTGTCTATTTTATACAAGCTTAAAAATTACACGTTGTTTATTTTATGTAAATATAGAAAATTGTATAAGCGTTTTGGTTTTTACATAAACATAGAAATAAACATAGATGGCAACTCATCTAATACTTGACAACAATTGGATAGTATGAAATAAGGGTTTACATTGCATAACTTAATATGAACATAAATATATTTTATATCGTATAAGTGCGCGGTCGCGCGTGTAGATGTGTTTGTGTAAATATTTTTAGCTGCTGGCTATTATATACAAACAAGTTTGCACTACATGTAACTGACAAAGGTTCTGAAAACGATGTAACTGGCATAATTAATCTCAATTATAACCTATTTAAGACAAATACGTGCTAAATATTTGAAAAAAGTAAAATGTATTAAAATTAATTTATTTGGAAGTTTAGGCTGGTGTTATCGCACCATTGATAATGGATAATCTAAAAATGCACAATAATTTGATTATTATTGATAATCCAAAACTGCACAATATCACTTGTTTAAAGCACTGCTTATAGAATCTTGCAAACTTGACACAGTAACTTCAAGTTTCAATCCTGTAAAAATATTCCAGAAAATCGCTTTATTGCATAATTGATCATGTTTATTTATTAACTTATATATCCATAAATAAATGTTTGTGAACATCGTATTGAAAATACTTTAACAGCTTTATATTCACAACAGTTTAGCAGATGGACCACTGTTTTGGTTTCTTTTTTATATAACAAAAATTGCTTCAGACAACATAAGTCATCCAGAGGTTCAATACAATAATTAATTATAATTTATTTATAATTCATGCAAATTTTTCTTTTTAGTTTTACCGCTTATATAGCTCATTATATTTTTGCAATAACTAAATAAATTCAGTGTTATTTTAAAAAAAGTTTAAATTTAAAAACACAAAGTAAATGTTTAAAAATGTAGCAGAATGTGGGTTAGATTAAATTAGTTTTCTTTTATATAAGCTATACTATATGATTTTGTGGTGTTTGCAATCAAGTAAGTTTATTTTTGCATCTTTATAATAAAAATATTTATTTTATAATATTAGATTTTAATATTATGGGATTTAGATCACAGCTATTATATTGTTGGATAATTTAACACATTTCGGACCTGTAAAATACGGGTTTTGGTAAGTCCTGTAAAATACGGTTTTGGTAAATACACTGACCATTTTTATACTTACACCTTACTTCAATATTTTTAGTAAGCTGTAGAAAAACTATACATATTGTCTACCTTTTAAAGTTATGAATAAAAAAAATAATTTATTACATAACTTTAAAAAATTTTAAACGCTTCGGTAGTCGCGAGCCGCTATTTAGTGGAAGTAAATAAAAATCTGTAAAATCTTTGTTTTAAATTAACAATTAATGATACTTTATAACTTCTTATTGTAATACTTTATAACTTCTTATTGTTAAATTTTAAACTTTTATAAATTTTTTTTTTTTTTAATAAAATTTATAAGACAGAATAACTTTATAAAAAAGGGGAAAATATGCTTTTTTTTATTAATTATTTAATTTTTAAATAAAAGTAAACTTTATAATAGTAAAAATATAAATATAAAGTAAAAATATCTATTGAACTTAAAAAATATTTTATTTTTTATTTTAAAAAATCGAAAAAGATTAAATATATATATATATGGAAGGGCAAGGATTTGAACCACTGCATTTCACTTTACCATGCTAACCTAACCACTTCAATAAATTTAAAAAATAATTTTTAATGATAAGTTTTAAAACTATTTAATAAAAAGACTTAAAATGGCAAGTAAATGCTATAATTCAAAATTAAGGAAATGTTGCCGCAATTCAATTCAAAAGTAAAAAAAAAAACTGTAAAACTTGGTATATGTTTTAATATTGCATAATTTGAAGTTTACATAATTTAGATATTTGCATGCACTTTTGTTCACATTTTCTTATACAACAAGTGCTGCGACTCTTTCTTGCCATTCCGGTGTAATGTGACTTCCTTGTCAAACACTCACAAATAAGTAAAGTCAGCAGTAACAGCAGCGTTATATTTGTTGTTAAAATATTATAGAATTAAAAAAAAATCTTAAAATAAACACATGCAAATAGTCACGAACTGGCAATGAAACATAATAAAAAAATTTTAAACTTATTTATATTTTTTAACAGAAATTCTATAGGGGAGACAGGGGAGAAGAGGGTTTAGGGGGTAGTGAGACAAATCAAAAATTCCAATAAAGTGCCGTCCTTAAATGATGTCAGTAATATTTCTTGGTTTTTCAACCTCGCCCCCTCCCTCTTTATCAAACAATGTCAACTCTCTTGAAGGTGATGTCAGTTATTGTTAACACCCCCTTCCCTCTAAAATAAAAGTAAAAATTTATATTTACTATTAATTTTTTTAATGATATTATTTTTTGTAGTATTTTTTTTTTTTTTTTGTGTACCTCCAAATAACTTTTTTAAGGTTTGAAGTGGGACAAAGAAAATTAAATTTTCTTTTGGTTTACATTTGTTGGTCGTTGTACAACTTTATATAACTAATAATAAAAGCAATAATATAAACAAATATAAAAAGTATAAACATTCTTATAAGCAGTCGTAGCGCAGTGAGTGGTTAGAGTTCTGGCTCAGAACCCAGAGGTCCTAGGTTCGACGCCGGTTCTAGCCCAATAAGCGGTTCTAGCCCAATAACAGACTCTAGCCCGAAAAGCGACATTGATAAGAAAGGAGGCGTGAACCTCTAGTTAAATGCTCTCCCGCGGTGCTCCGTGATAAGATTGTAAGGACTTCTGGGAGCACCTAAATAACCTAAAAAAAAAATAAAAAAATAAAAAAGGTAGATTCGTGATTTATATAAGACCCCCATGTTTTTAAAAATTTTTGTGCTTATAAAATCAATATTATGATTCTAAGTATTTTATTTCCTTTTGATTGATAAAAATTTTAGGTAGTTTTGATTGGCGAAATCGCTTTTTTGTAAACGAATGTAATAAAACCCACTTTGCTTTATTAGTACTGATGTCCCAATTTTTTTTATTTTTCAATTTTATTTTGACGTTTATTTAAACGACAGTTCTCTTCCACAAAAAATAAAATTGAATTACAAATATATAAATAATAATCAGACAGGTGCTCAAAGAAGATATGGATGGCAAAATATCAACCTAATCTTTTCTTTGTAAACAAAATTATAGAATTATAAATAAAAATTATTCCGTAAGATTTAAAATGTATATTTTTGTTTGAAAATAAAATGAATTTAATGATTTTTCTATATTAAAATCGTCTTTTAGAAAAGTGTTCCATTTCATTGGTCCTCTATAAGTTATACTATATTCTGTGTATTTGTTTTCTTTTTTAGGTAATTTTTATGTGTTACTTTGATTTATTCTCAAGAAATACTTCTCATTTTGATATTTATTAAATTTACTTTTAAAGATTTTAGGAGTTATGTTATTGGTATATTTATACAGAAAGTTTAACTATTGGTAAATATTTATTTGATATATGTTCATCATTTTGCTATCAAAGGTTTTGTGTAGTCCCCCGTTTATTGCTGTATATAGTTGACTAACGCTCGGATAAATTTAAAAAAGAAATTAGTATTGATAATATTCTTTTAAAACTCTTAATCGTGATGTTACTTTATGACTATTAGCAAACGTTCATTGCAGAAAAAATTTCAAATAAAATATTAAATTATACAAGAACAGAAACTTAATAGCTGAGATTCGATTCCCATAATATCAAAAGACGTAAATATCACGTGTAGCTTCGTCAAAAACTTTAGAAAAGAAAAAAATATAAACTCTTTTAAAAAGTTAAAAAGAATTTCTCAACCATAACTTTTATATATTTATGTTGTAGAAGCCTCGAGAATTTTGATGAAGATTACGTGGATCACATTATAAATAATTTTTTGATTATAATTTTTGTTAAAATGTTAATTACTAAAATATCAAGAAATTACGATTTATTTGCAAAACATTGTTTTTTTCAGTTCATACATTAATAAAAAATAAAAATAAATTATATCCACTATCCCGTTTTGTTTTTTTTTTATAAAAATTTTTGAGGAAAATTCACGTGATATTTAACGACTTTTGATATTATGGGATTTAGGCCTCAACTACTTAGTTTCTGTTGTTGTATTGTTTAATACTTTACTCAAAATTTTTTTGTAATGAACGCATGCTAATAGTCATGAAGTAACAATAAATCAGTATAAACAACTTTAAAAGAATTTCATCCAGGAGCCTTATTAATTTCTTTTGTAAGTTTAACAGAGCGTTAGTCAAAAGTTTATTTATGGCCTTATTGATAAATTTCTTTTTCAAAGCAAGTGTTTTTGATTGAGTTTAAAGAATGCAATTTTGATTGTTTTGTTTCATTGTTTTTAATTAAATAACAACTTTTTATATTCAAAAACGCTGTATCTAAATACAAAAAGTTCCAATTAAAAAGTTCTTCGGAACATAAATCTCCGCAAGCAATCATTCCTTTATTTTATGATGTTATTTTGTAGCAAATCTTTTTTTGAAATATAATACTGTTCTTAGCATAAGTTTGTTAAAGTTTTCTTACTTCTAATTTTTGTTAGCAGTTATATATTGAGACTTTTAGAGCCTTATTCTATTGTTGTTGCCTTTATTGATTTGTTTGCAATTGATTAAATTTAAAATACTATTCCAGTTCTGTTTATCAGTAAAAATATTTTTGAAAAAAAAAAAAATAAAACTTTTAGCTTAAATAGCTACTACATTTAAAAAATGATTTGCAGAAGTGCAACTTAATTCACATTTAAAACTGTTTTCAAAAGCAAAAAGGTAACAATATACATGTTACATTTTCTAAAAGAAAACTTTCAATTTTTTGAAATAATAAACGAAACGATTTCTATGAAAGAAAACTGTTTCAATGATCTTTTAGTTGGTTTTTTTGCTCAATTTTAAAACAAATAATTTTAATTTTTTATCTTTTTTCTTATATTGATTACTTTATTCATAAACACTTAAAATTGCATTTATAAAAAAAAAGAGAAATCAGTATCAATGAAAACACTGCATTTAAGAGAAAGCTCCGAAGAAACCTCATTCTCTGTTTGTTTTAAGAGAAATTCTTTTATAACGAAAAACTGCCTAACGAATAAGTTTTTCAACATTTTTAAACAGTTGAGTTGACAAGTTATTTTGAAATTTCATCTTTAGGTAATGGAACCATACGAAGTAGCATATAAAGTTTTCCTTTCCCTGATACTTGCTTTATCAGTAGTATTAAACACAACTGCCTTCTACACTATTTCTATTAAAGTGAAAAAGAAAGAATTAGCGCATTTATTTATTCTAAGCATCTCTTTTACAAACTTGTTGGAATCAATAATTGGATTACTACCGCATATAATAACGTCAGGAGAAATATTATCAGGAAGTAACTCATTGTGTATAGCAAGCGGGTTTGCAGTGTTTGGATTTGCAACCACAAGTATTACTCATCTGTGTGTACATTCGTTAAGTCGAACTGTGGCCATAAAATATCCTATTTATTATTTTAAAAATCGAAAGCGTTTCTGGTACAGAACAGCTTTGATATCAGTATGTTACGTATATGGATTTATTTGGGCAACATTTCCTGCAATTAGTTGGTCAAAATATGACCTAGATCTTGATAAAAGACGCTGTTCATTAGATTGGAACTTGACTCGATCAGACTCTCTATCTTATATTTTATCAGTTTTAATTTTTTGCAATATTTTTCCCGGTATATTAATAACAATCGGATTATTTAAAAGCAAGAAGGTAATTTATCGTCGAAGAACTCGCAATCTTGGACAAAAAGATGATAATCAGCCTGATATTTTTGAAAAACATTATTTAAAAGTATTTTCATTGTCTAGTGTATTGTTTTTTGTAGCATGGACACCTTATGCTGTTGTAAGTATATTAGCATTATTAAAGATTGCTCCTCCTCCTCTGCTGGTTACAACTGCTGCGTTGTTTTCTAAGCTATCCGCTGTTTCTAATGTTCTTGTTAATTGCTTTATCAACAAATCGTTTATAAAACATTTGTTTAGCATAAGAGTTATTCAAGTCGTTGCAAAAAGAGGAACAGAATTAAAAATAATTGGCCATGCTGCATTTTTGCATAAAGAAAAATCACTTAGTTATTGAAAACAACTGGCTGTATTTGTATATATATAAAAAAGCAGTTTGTTTGACAAAAAGATGATATTCTATCTGTTATCTTTGAGATGCAGTATTTAAAAAAATTTTCATTGTCTACTGTAACGTATATTAGATTAACATGGACAACTTACGTCGTTGGCAGCGTCTTAGCATCGTTTAAAATTGTTTATCTACCTCTTAATAAATATTAATACCATTTTATTTTAGACATAAAGTTCTTAATTTTAAAAATAACTTAATTATATATATATATATATATATATATATATATATATATATATATATATATATATATATATATATATATATATATATATATATATATATATATATATATATATATCAAAACATATTTTAGACGTTTAAAAAACGTCTTATGCTAACTTTAATAATGTACTAAAACGTTTTGTTTAAATTTATGAACAGAATAAATGTTTTTAATTAGTAAAACAACTTTACGATAATTAAGCTTCATCGCAACTTGCATATGTTTTTCCTGATAAACGAGGTTGATATTGTGTAAGAAACTTTAATTTAACTTTTTAGTATTTTTTTAGATTTCTATAGTTAACTATTTACTTATTAAAATGTTTGTATTTTTGATATCTATTTACTTATCAAAATATTTGTATTTTTGATTGTAACCTATGCCAGCTGGGTAGCTATATAATTACAATTTTTAATATTATTTTAGTAGCTTTTTCTAAGCCTATGCTCAAAACATCGGTTGTGTGTGTGAGTAAAATATGTAAGCCATATATAAGTAGCTCTTTTATTTGGACCATATTTATATCATATTTATATCATGTTTATATCATATTTAAATGATATTTTTATTATTTTTGTATCATATTTTTTATCATGTTTACATCATATTTATATCATACTTTTATCATATTTACCTCATATTTATATCATATATTTACTATTTACTATTAGTTCTTCCTTTTTTTACAATTATCGCCTTTTATCTGATTTTTACTTTTCTTTTTATTATCACTACTTATTATAATTAAATTTGATAGGTGTTTACTTGAGATTAGTATCATTACTATTTGTAAATATCCATGATATAAGTTCTTTTATTCAGAATAAATTTGATTTGATTTGATTTATTAATATATGTATCGTAAGTTTGCTAATTTTTATATTTAATATATTATAGGTAAAAAAAAATTAAAGAAAAAAAAGTCACAAAGTTAAAAAAAGACAGTTTTGAATTTTGAAGTTGTTAAGTTTGAAATTATATATAACTATTGTGTAGTATAATAACATCAATGCAATTTAATATAATCATATTATAAATAGCCAAACAAAATAAAAAAAAAAAATAAAAAAAAAGATTAAAAACAATTCAAGTATAAATTTATATTAGAACTTAGTATTTACTTTTCTTTCTTTAATGCACTATATATATAATTTTTAATTGTTATATTATGTTGGAGTTTTACATTGTATTTCTAAGAATTTTCTCTAATTTTTAATTTGTAAAGTCCGCTTAAAAGCCCTCTGAAAAGATTGTTTTTTAGCTACCCGTATATTCTTTGTAGCCCTGCTTGTTTTTATAAATCCTCTTTTTCATGTAAACGTTTTTTTTTTGTGTTAAAATCTGTAAGCTTCCTGATTTTTTTCTTAATTGTATAGTTTTCTATCATGCTACATGTCCTATATCCATAGTCCACCATTGCTCTCTCTCCTTCTACTATTTCGCCAGGTTGCTTATGATTGTGAGTTTGCAGTATGGTGTGGAGAAAATTGCTGGTTATATGAATTAAATTGTTACAGTTTAATTAATAATTAATTATGTTTTCAAATATTATCTTAGATGGGTTTAGGGTTGGTACAAAAATGTCGAAGAAGGATACTAGATCAAAATACAGAATCTTCTTGATGGAAGAACTTATTGAAGTTCTTCCAGCACCACAGCTACCAACTGGAGATTAAGTTCTGCAACTTTATAACTGGAACCTAACAAAAACAAGGAAAGAGATGGTTACAAATAGTTTTGACAGTCTCAAGAAGAGTTCTGTTGTTTCGGTGTCTATTGTTAACTAAGAGATTAGAAACTTGTTGCAAAGGTAATACATGATGTCAGACAGAAGAAAGAACTCATTGTGTGACTGGTGTTATAAAGAACCTCTGGCAAAGGAGTTCTATTCCTCGTTCTTTTCTATGTCTATATTTTTATGTCTAATTGCCATAGTCCGAAATACATTTATTAAATTTTTAACTACAAAAATATACTATTGTTAATACCAGGGCATAATTACAAAGAAAGAACGATAAAGCTGACAACCAAAAAAACTAGAAGCTTTCTAACAGAAGTGAGAAAAAAGGAATATTTTAAGAAAGAAATGAAGGAGTTGTTTGATATTTTTGTCAAAAATGCTATTGAGGTTATTTTGTTTAACAAAAAAAACAAAAAACAAAAACACTAAGGATGAGAGGCTTACAGAAGCTGCATTTTATGAAGATTAAAAGGGAGAGCGCATAGCTGTAATATAGGTGCCAAAGACAGAGAGTACACAAAAGCAGTGAAAAGGCACCAAAAAAAGTAGGAATCTTCAAAAAGCAGAAATGTAATTTCTGAATATGCTGAAATTCCTGTCGTGAACTCTGGAACAATAAACAACAATAATGATTTAAAGGGTACAGATGATGGGAAAGATACTGATTATCAAGTTGGTGTTAGATCAAAATCACATAAGCGAAAGCTAGATTTCATTCGCGTCATGCTTCCAAGAAAATTTTTGAAAGAAACCACTGTGACTGCAAAAATGGCACTTGTCACTAATTCAGCGGTAGCAATAATATCAGATTTTGATGTTTCATTCTCTTCTGCTAGATACCAAACCAATGTAGCACAGGTTTAAACACAGGTGAGTACAGTTTATTTGAAGTTAAAAGTTTAAATGGTTATTGTAAATTTTTAAATATGGGCAAAACATCTTAAGGTTGTATGAGAGGGTTGCAGCCATGTTAGAGAAATAGATGGAAAAACTATTATTATGGTTTGGATGTAGACATGTCTATGAGCTCCACATAAATGTTTTTTTTTTTATTTTTTCAGTTTTTTTTAAACAACAAATTTTACTTTATAGTTTAATCTTTTATTTTAAACATCTGTTTAAAAGATTTCAAAACGCTTAGGAAACCATCACGCCCATTGGTTTGAAGAATCTCAATAAGTTTAACTGGAGTGCAAACTAGGGAACATTTCTTGAGAAAAAGGTGTTTTTTATTGAAACAATTGTTATTGTTATTGTACATGATTTGTTTAAAATTCAACCAGGTTTCATAATTTTATTGTTTACAGACACTTGAAGTTAAGAAATATCTTGAAGCTATACTGTACACAAAGGAGTTTCTTCGTGATGATTACAAACATTTAGCCGAGCTTATATTGGTCTGGTTGTGAAGTAACAAGATAATGAATTTCAGATTTCACTAACCTATTGCAGTACACAATGCAAGATTTTCTGCTAAACTCTTATATTATATGAGCATAGAACTTTGACAATGTTTTTACCAATATAATTACATCTACATTCAGTGGCGTAGGAAGGTTTTTTCATTTGCATATCAATTATGGTATACCATAATCGATATGCAAATGAAAAAACCTTCCTACATATATATATATATATATATATCATATATATATATATATATATATATATATATATATATATATATATATATATATATATATATATATATATATATATATATATATATATATATATATATATATATATATATATATATATATCATATATATATATATATATATATATATATATATATATATATATATATATATATATATATATATATATATATATATATATATATATATATTTTTCTCTGTTTACATAACATAAGAATTTTACAGATTCTACTACATAATATAAAATTTAACAAAATAAGTAAAACAGATTCCAAACATCGTTGATGAATATATGGTGACTTTGAGAAAGAATTTTCATTTTTATTACCTACTACTAGGGATGACTACCCGGGATTTCGGGATTGAGAAATTTGTCCCCGAAAAATCCCGGGATTCAATATTGAAAAACGCAACTGAATACTTTTTAAGCACTCATCAAACACTAAAAATTGATTAATTTAATGATAATATAACTAAAATATTTAATACATTAATGAACCTTTAAGTTAAATCATATTTTAACTTAATTTTGTATTAAAACTTATCTAAGACTTAAAAATTAATGAACCTTAGTATTTTAAATTATAAAACAATACCTTAAAATGGTAACACAGAATAAATAAAAATAAAAATCAAAAAATAGTATAAGTATGAATGACTTATTAGTTATACTTATTAGTTATGACATTATTTAAACGTACGCTAAGAAAATTTTGTAACTTAATAAACCTTCTGTTTTTTGATAAGTATATTATTTAAATTGACGTTAAAAAAACTTTAGTAAATCACACATTTTCATAAATCACACATTTGAAATTAAAATTAATGGAATTAAAAATGGAATTTGAATCACTCACACGTTTGGAAATAAAATGAATGGATATAAAAATGTAATTAAAATCGCGCAAATTTTTGGAAGCAGAAAGTTCAAAATTAAATTAATGTATACCTTCTATTAAAAACTCTTGTGTTTTTTTTTTCGTTTTTAAAAAATAAAACGAAAGGGAAAAGGGGAAAGGGTAAAGCGGGGTAATAAGATTAGTGGGGTATTAAGATCTTTTTTAGCAGAGCTAAATTTAAATTTTATGCTATTGTGTAAATAATAATTTACTAAGTTTTACATAATATATGTTTACTTAGTACGTAAGAGAGTAGTTTAAAACATTTCTTGGACTAACAACTAATTTTTTACCATTAATAATTTGGTTTTCAATATCGATATTTTTTACGGCAGTTTTTAATTTTGTTCGAAGTTTATGAAAAACTTTACCGAAATCGGTGCTCCTCAGTTTTTAATTAAAAAGGCTATTCCAAGTTTTTTTTTTTTTTCCTTGAAAGTAAAGTAGTATCTAAGTTTATTAAGTACTTTTTTAAATTACACATTCTACTTAAGTAACATTTAGACATAAATATAATAGTTTAAATCTCATATTTATTTCTGTAAAAATCATTGAGTCATTAAGCTGTCTGAAGAAGGTGTAGACATTTTACATTTATACCTTTAAAATTACCTTGTACACAAAATTTTTTTGTTTTCCTAGCAAAGGTAAGACTTATTTGAGATGTTTGTTGCAAAAAACTTTGTTTATTTGTTTACTTGGAGAATAAAATTTTTATTTTAAAACAAGTAGGTCTTAATGCCCTCCCTGACTAGTAAAAAATGGCAAAACTCTCTAATAAATTTAAATAAGCTATCAATTTCAAAATATATAGTTAAAAAAGTATGAAAAAAATTGCAATCAACTTTTTAATTTAAAAAAATATATTTTTATTGTATTTTTGAAAAAAAATATTTTTTCTCCTTAGAATGGTTCGAACATACAAAAAGTTGAAACAGAGAGGTAGAAAATCCTACTCAAACAGTCAAGAAATAATAGATGCATGCAGTTCTGTTTAGAATAAAAAAATGTCGATAAACCAGGCATCCAAAATTTTTAGGTGTGATAGAAGAGCGCTTTCAAAAAGAGTAATTGGTGAACTATCTTTTGACTCTCATCCAGGGCGAAAAACAGTTTATTATTTAATGGCCTTATTTTAATGGCTGATTGGGGATGGGGTTTTACTAAAGGTGAAGTTAAAGATTTAATACAAGATTTTCTTAAAACAAACAGTATTGACACGCTATTTATAGATTCTCGACCAAGTAAAGACTGGTTACATGCATTCTTGCAAAGAAATCCTAAAGTTAATCCAAGAAAAACTGAACATTTAAGTAATTTCAGAAGTCACGCTGAAAGTCCTGAAACAATCAAAATTTGGTTTAATTTAGTAGAAAAAACCTTAAAAAAGGAGGAATTATTAACCTTTTCTAATCAAATCTTTAATTCTGATAAATCAAGGTTTTTCACCGACCCTAAGGAGCAAATTGTATAAGCAAAACGAGGTGCTTCTTGTGTGTCGCAGAGCATTGGTGGATCAGGCAGGGAGCAGGTTACTGTAAATTGTGCATGCTCTGCTAGTGGGCAGGTATTGCCACCATATATTATATACAAAGGAAAAAATTTGTATATGGACTGGGTTAAAGGTGGGCCTGATGGAGCTGTTTATACTACCAGTAGTAAGGACTGGATGGAGTGCCCCCATTTTTTAGAATGGTTTCAAAACATATTTCTAATTTATCAAAGCATCTTTCAAACCGCCCACGTGTGCTTTTATTCGATGGCCATATTTCTCATATTAGCTCCTCACTTATTGATATAGCAAAAAAAAAATAATATTATTCTCCTACGCATTCCTGCACATCTTACCCATCTTCTTCAACCTTTAGACACATCAGTTTTTTGACCTGTAAAAAATAAGTGGCAAAGTTTGCTTATAAAATATGCAAGAACGCATAATGGAACAGTGTCGAAAAAACATTTTCCAGGGCTATTACGTACCTTTTTCAGAGTTCCTTTACTATAGAACAAGTCAAAAGCGGTTTTAATGGAACTGGCATTTTTTCTTTTAACAAAGATGCTATTGACACACGCCTATTTAATCAGTGTTTCATGTTACCTGTAAAGAAACCTACATTCTCAGAAATCAACAATAGAGGTGATCAGTGGATGTGCTGCAATGTTTGTGACATCTTGTATCATTTAAAATGTACCACGATATCTAAATTAGATAATGTTAAAGTCATGGAGTGGAAATATAGTGATTGCTCTAAGCCTTTGTAAAAATATAAACTTAAAAAGTATTGTTTTTAATTGACCCTTTTTTACTTGTGGTTTCTCGCACAGTTTTATAATATTTTTAAATTCATCAACAGGTTTTTAGTTTCATTTAATAATTTTTCAGTATTATAAAGTTATGATCAACTAAAATATAAAACCCAAAAAAATCTGGGATATTTTAGTTTACCGACTTCAGTTACCACAATATTGTACATGTTGAACATATAAATAAATAATAGGACATAGAGATGAATAAAAGATTAAAAAAGAAATAACTATTTTATTATTTTAAGGAAAGACGTGCAAAACACAGGACAATGGCCTCACTAAGTTTATATATTTTGATAATACTGATGAAATAAAAAACAAATTATGTTTATTTAATTATTTTTTTACTCAAAAGTTAACTAACTTATTTCAAATAGTTTTTGCTATAGATTTTATAAAATAACACTATGTTTTTGTTATTAAGAAGACCATGTAGTTATAAGGGAGGGGGGAGAGCTTTGATTTTTTTTAATTTTTATTTTTTGTCGTATCCTGACCATTTATGAAAAAAAAGGGAGGGGGAATTTTCAGGTTTGATTATTTTTAGGCATGCAAGTCCATAATTTAAATTTAAAGTGCTGTGTTAAATATATAAATTTATAAATTTATAAATATATAAATTTACATAAAAAAATATTTTCAAATGTATAAGGGGGTGGAGGGGGGTGTCCATAGAGAATCGATGCGACCCATAGAGGGAAGGGGGGAGAAATCGCCCCCTCCTCTATGACACACCACTAATTGGATTTAAAATTTATTTTGTTTGTTTGTCCAATGAATTAATAGATTTAACTTTGTATAAATTATCCGGCTATAAAGGATTACATCAATAGTCAAATTACAATTTATCTCTGTATTGCTTATAATTTTTTGATTGGAATAATTAATCATAACTTCTTAAATACTCCTTTTCAGACCATATTTCTTGTACGAATATGAATCAGCATTAATTTATCTTCCCAACGATATATAAAAAATTTATTGAAATTTTTTTTTTCTACTTATACAAATATAACCCTTTTATGTAGGCCCAAAAGTACACCTTTCGGAGCAACAATTGTTGAGTTTTTTTTTTAGAGAATTATCACACATTAATGTTTGCTTGAACAAAGTTTTACCTTTATATTATTTTATTCCTGGTCGAAATTCTATTGCACCGTATCTTACCGTGCGGCATTAAAGATTCTGTATTATTTGAAGACAGAAGTGATAAATGGGTGTGATATATATACATATATATATATATATATATATATATATATATATATATATATATATATATATATATATATATATATATATATATATATATATATATATATATATATATATATATTCTTTCTTTGGAACGGCCCTGGAACTAACAGTGTAATGTTAGTTCCAGGGCCGTTCCAAAGAAATCTTGCATGAGGATTGGAGGTGGAGGGGGGATTAATAATATTATAATAATATTAATGACATACTTTTCCTTAAGTCATTAATATTATTATAATATTATTAATTTACATGTATATATGTATATAAATATATTGCGTATTACTCACAGTTGTCCAAAAAGGGTCTTAACCTCTTTGGAAATGGCCCAAAATATCCTTTGGAGAGGTAATTCTATAGGTTATGATGATCATTTTGAAATAAAAATTAAAATCTTTTAATTACGTCTG